GACGGGCAGAGCGAGACGCGTCCCCGCTGGGACACACGGCCGGAGCAGAGGGACGCGGCGGCTGCGACAGAGCTAACGTGGTGTATGGAGACCAGGGCAGCCAAGACGCGATGGGCACTGCCAGCAACGTGGGCACTGCCAGCTGGCGGGGACCCCTGCCCAGTTTCTTCATGGTGTCGGTCTCCAGGTTCACAGCCCTTCCCTGGCTCGCTCCGAGCTGAAACAAAGCCACCTCTTCCCACGACCCACTGAGAGCGCAGGCCCTGCTTGGCTTCGGCGCACGCTGGTCTCTTGCTTCCAGGACCTGCTCCGGAATGGATCTGGAAACCCTGAGCGTGTTTTTTGGATCTGAGCGTCAGGTCCGCAGAGGAGCCAGGAAACATTTCACGTCGCCTCTACATCGGCTTGCTGGCATTTTGCACAACCCCTCGCCTTGGGGCCAGCTGAGCCATTAAGTCCCCTCCTCTGGGACGCTGCCGTGGTCCAGGGGGCCAAAGGGCTCTTCACTGGCGTGGGCTTTCTCAAGCAACAGGGCCATAAATTATGCAAGTTATCTCCAACGAGTCGTGCTGAGAAACCTGTTTGCAATCTGGGCTGGGATGGCAGCTGGGTGGGTTGCCGCTGCCAACGCGAGCTCATGCCTGGATCAGCACTGATGTCCCCGTCTCGCAAGCCTCCCTGCTCCAAGCGAGTCACCCACCTCGAGCCAGGAAGACGGCATCATGCCAGAGAAACCCAGGATCTGGGTGGTTTTGGTCCTGCTCCTCGTCCCTGAGGCAGTGAGCCACATGAGGTGACCTTCCAAGCTGCATGGGGGTGCCCCAGGTGCTTGGTGGCCCTTGGCCACATCCTCATCGTGGTCATGCTTGGTGGGAGCTTGATCTGGCCATGCCAGACCTGGACATGCCACCCTAAGATGCCTTGGGGCCATGAAGGTGGGCTTTCTCAAGCAACAGGGCCATAAATTATGCAAGTTATCTCCAACGAGTCGTGCTGAGAAACCTGTTTGCAATCTGGGCTGGGATGGCAGCTGGGTGGGTTGCCGCTGCCAACGCGAGCTCATGCCTGGATCAGCACTGATGTCCCCGTCTCGCAAGCCTCCCTGCTCCAAGCGAGTCACCCACCTCGAGCCAGGAAGACGGCATCATGCCAGAGAAACCCAGGATCTGGGTGGTTTTGGTCCTGCTCCTCGTCCCTGAGGCAGTGAGCCACATGAGGTGACCTTCCAAGCTGCATGGGGGTGCCCCAGGTGCTTGGTGGCCCTTGGCCACATCCTCATCGTGGTCGTGCTTGGTGGGAGCTTGGTCTGGCCATGAGGTGATGCCACCCTGAGATGCCTTGGGGCCATGAATGTCCCTTTCTGCTCTGCTGGCACCGGGGAACCTCTTGGGACGGCTCTGGGACCCCTTGGGGCAGCTGTTTGCCACTGACTTCCCACATCTCTCCATACCTCCAAGCTCAACCACATCCTCACCACGGCATCCAGATGCATGAACCAAGCACTACTCCGAGGTTTCACCAGCTGGACCTACCTCCCATCCTGGCATGAGCCAATGTGCCCATCCCCAGGCAGGGATGACAGGGAGGTTTGGATGGGCGCATTGGGAAGGGAGCCAGCCCGCCCATCCAGAAGTGGCACCAGTGCCCATGGACACATCCCCCTTTCCCATCAGCTTCCCCTTTGCATCCTACTCAACAAACCCCGAGGTCTTTGCTCCATCTTCTTCCTGTCCTTGTTTTCACCACATCAGCAACTTCCCAACCCCTTCAACCTTCTCGGGCCCCGAAAAGCCGACGCCAAGTGAGGAAGGAAGAGCAGAGAGGAACCCCGGTGCCTGGGTAAACAAGGGCCTGATTCCTTGCAGCTGCGGTGAGATAGTGTCTCCTGCCTGGTAATTGAGAGCAGCTGCCCGCTCGCCGTGGGAGGAAGACTCGGCGCCGGCGCTGCCCGGCTTCCCCTTCATCCTGGCCAGGCTTTGATCCGTGCATCCCGGAGGTGCACCTCAACGGCCTCCCCCGGAGGGGATGGACTGGCCCGTGCATCCGTCCATCCTTTGCTGCCGGAGAGTTCCAAGCTCTGGGATGTGCTAAGGGCTTTTGGGACCTCAACCAGGGAACCAAAGGTCCCGCTGGCATGTGGGTGGATGGGGAGGGGGGATCTCCTCCATGTGTCTGGGATCCCGTGCCAGGAGGAGACATCTCGAGAGGCAGCAGCTGAGATGTCTTCAGTGTGGCATCCCCTGCCTCCTCCGCTGCCGCTCCTGGCATTCCCACCATCCAATCCACTGGAACTGTCCACCCATATGGAGCCTGTTCCCAGGGAGCCGTGTCCCCTCCTGTCCCCACGGCCTTTTGCCCTCCCTGGCTCCTGCCTGTGGTGCTGCACGAAGGTGAAGAAGGAGGGATAACTCGGGTGAAGAAGGAGGGATAACTCGGGTGAAGAAGGAGTGGTGTCCCAGGTAAAGAAGGGATGTCCCAATTGGAGAAGGAGGGACATCTGAGATGGGAAAGGAGGGATGTCCCAGGTGAAAAAGGGATGTCCCAGGTGAAGAAGGGATCTCCCAGGTGGGGAAGGAGGGATGTCCCAGGTGGGGAAGGAGGAATGCCTCGGGTGAAGAAGGAGGGATGTCCCGTGCTTGGAGGAGACCACGAGCGTCTCCGGGCTTTCAGGGCCGAGTGGGATGCCCTGGCAGCTCCCGCTCCGTGTCCCGGCGCTGCTCACCTGTGTCCCCGCCGCGATCTCCCTTCTCGCCCTTGGGGCCTCTCTCGCCTGCAAAGGGAAGGAGCCACCGTGAGCAGGGAGTCCCTTTGCCATCCCCGTCTTCCCGTACGAGCCCGCCCAGCTCCGACGTTTTGCTGCGCATTGGCAGCCCCGGAGGGTTTTATCCCCCTTTTACAGGGGGGGAAACTGAGGCACAATGTGGCAAATGGCTCTTCTCACCGGGAACCCACCCAGCTGCTGAATCTGAAGCCTTTCCCTGGAGAGGAGCAGTTTTCCAGTGTTCCTCAGAGCTTGGGGAATATTTGGGGGTGGAGAAGCTAGGAATATACCCAGTAGTCCAGGTGGCATCTGCGTGTGGTCCTGGATCTGCCCTTGGCATCTCCCACCACCTGCCAGGGAGCAACCGGGCACTTTTGCTGCTTCCCGCAGCGGAAAAGATGTGGGAGAAGAAAATGAGGGTTGGAAGGAGCCGCTGGGATGGTCCCGGCTCGGATGCGGTGCCGGTGCCACCGGCGATGGCTCCGCGCAGCCCCGGCAAGCGGCCAGGCGGCTTTCGGGCCCCGCTCGGACATCTGCTCCTCTTCTGTCTCCGCGCAATAACAACAAGCAACGCGCGCCGTGCGCCCGCCCGCCCAAAGGTCTTCCGAAAGGGAGGAAAAAAAGCAGGCAGGAAATTCCTGCCCTTTAACTCGGAGGCTCTGGGAAGCCGGGATTGCTCCCCTGGGCAGCCGCAGCTGTGTCCGATGGAGTGAGGCTGCCTGGAGCCTGCTCCGTGATGGGAACCAGATGCCACCAGCCGGAGTGGGGCCAAGGATGCTGCACGTGATGCTGCTCCTGCAGCGATGCTCTCCGTGCCCTCCTAGGCGACGGATGGTGCAAAGAGCCCCCGGAGCTGCTGCGTTTCAGCCCAAAACGCTGCCTGGCTTCCCCAGCGCTGCAAACTGCAGCAGGGACCCAAAAATCAGAGCTGCCTTAGGTAGTGCAATGGAAATCTATATAGGTAACGCAATGGAGTTCTATATAGGTAATGCAAACCAGAAGCGGCCGCTCCAAAGAGGGATATTTTTTGAGGCAAAAGGCAAAAATCACCCCCTTTTTTCCTTTTCTTGTTGCAGCAGCCTTGGAGGCTGGACACCTGCCAGACCCTCCGCAGGGCTCCCGGACGGCGGGGGCGAAACGGCAGCGCCGGAGCCAAGCGCCGCTTTGCTCCGGGGTGAGCGAGGGGGATCCCGGCCGGCGCCGGCAGCAGTTCCCCCACGGAGGAGTCTTTGTCCCACGAGGGCTCTCTCCGACAAGGAGGTGAAATGCATCGTCGCGAGCCTGCAGGGCCACATGCTGCTCACATGGGAGCTCCGAGGACAGGTGAATATTGCAATGCAGAAATAGGGCAATGCAGAAATGCGGAATGCTGAAATGCTGAGTTAATTCAATGCAGAAATATTGCAATGTTGCAATGTTCCAGTGCTGAAGCAACACCAAAGGACATAGGATTGCCCCCGTGGCCACCAAGTCACCTATAGGTTAGCAACCAGTGCTGAGGCTGGTTAGTGCTGTTCCCTCATAGATGTGCTCCCCTGTACCACAGGCTGATTTATAACCGCTTTCCACAGTCTTTCTTTTTTTCCCATCATGGAAACGAGGAAAATGATACTTTCCAGGGGTGATTTCGAAGGACGGGATGAAGGAGCAGAAAAGAGCAAGAGGTAGCACGGACTGGATCACCCCATCCCTGTGTGTGAGGTCGGACCTGCTGGAAAGACTCCAAGAGATCATCGGGATCGTTGGGATTTCAGTGCCCAAGAAGGCTGCACTGCCCAATGAGCAGAGGTTGCCGTAGACTTGGATGAAAACTACTCGAGAAGGGTAAGACCAGCATTGGGGGAAACAGGCCTTTCCTTAAAGCCGGGGTTTGGAACGCTGCCTCGCTCCGTGCCTGTTTCCTATAAATCGCAGAGAATCCCATAAACCGGAGAAATGCAGCACTCGCTGCCAGAGCGTTTCGCTGTTTATTGGACAGCACTGGGGTTGAAGCCCCCTTTACCCTGATCCGTGGTGGATTTTGGGGAGGGAGGCTGTGATTCAGGAGCCAGGGCTCATTTTGGGGCAAGACACATCCAGCCCTGGACCAAGGGGGCTGGAAAGGGGACGTGGAGGGAAGGACCCCGTGATGATGGTGTTGGTGGCACCAGCAGCAACCAAGGCTGGGAGGAAGGTTGCAACCACTACCTGCCTTTGTGCTGGACAGGGCAGGAGGCCGCGGAAGAGCACGATGCTCCCCGATGCTTACAAGGATGAAGTTCATGGAAGGTTCCTCGTTCTTGCAGTCTAGGCAGCTCAAACCACGACCTCATCAACATCCCCCTGAAACACAGCTTAATTCCCCCGGGTTTTTCACTGCGATTTGCTTGTCAAACCATTGCTCAGCATCCGCCAGGGAGGAAAACCTGCCTAGCCCTGCTCGGAGGGAAGGCAGGAAACCGCAGACCCGAGCGTGTGGGTTTGGGCTGGCGAACGTCCGCGCGGCGCTCGTTTGATTTGCTGCCAGGAACAGCTCGGGCTCCGCTCGCTCGCGCAGCCCCTGCCTCCCGCGCGGTCTGCGGCGCTCATGGGTCTGCAGGGCTCCTGGCCGACCCCTTCCGAGTGGTTTTGGTGACATCCTGCAAGACCAGGACAAGCGCTTTTATCCTACAGCTCCTGCCGTAGCTTTTCCCAGTTTGGAAACAGACCCACATGCGGGACATCCGTATCACTGCTGGGAAGCTGCATTCCTAAAGGCTATGAGTTATCTCCAAAAAGGCTGAAAGAGGATGTTGGAAAATGGTGAGAAATTCTTGCAATGCTGCAGTTCCTGTGTGTTTTTGCTCTGGCAGCGTGTGCCATGGATGGGTCTTTGCTCGGATGGGCAGCCAAGGCTCCCCCAGCTCTGCTGCATGAGAAGGGGAGATGGAGACTTGCAGCGCTGAGTCGTCCTAGACCACATCTAGACCCTCACCTATCCAGCCTAGTGGCCCGGAGAAGCCATCTCCATTGGTAAACGGGTCTTGGAAAGCCAGCTCATTCCCAGGTTGGGATGGTGGGAAAGAGATGGGATAAATAGAGCTGTCGTGTCAGTCAGCCAGGTGGTTACAGCAGCGATGTCTCGAGGGAAACGGGATCAGTCATCAGCGGGAGTGATGGTGATTGCTCCTGAACCCCCTCCAGAGCTGCAGCGATGTTTGGTATGAGAAGAACGCGGCGGATCGCGGAGGCCCCCGTCCGCGCTGCTGGTGCTGGGAACGGGAACGTGTCTCGCTCGTGCTTCGCTGCTGCCTGCCGACACGGAGCGCCCGGCCCGACCCGGAGCGGAGCTTCCCCATCTGGAGGACGCGGCGCTGCCGGCATCTCCCGCCGCGCCGAGCGGAGCGGGAGCACGAGCGCGCGGAGCAGAGCGCAGCTGGGCTGCAGCTGGGAGCAGGCGGCTGCAGAGCACAGCCGCAGCTCGTCACACAGCCCCGGACACGTGTCCCCGCGTCCCTTGTGCACAGCCGCCCCGTATGCCACTGGCTGAGCCCGCTGCAAGCGCCGCGAGCCATGGGGTGATGCCTCCCTGCCGCGGCAGTGCCCATGGCCTCCTTGGATTGATGATGGGGACATGGGGACAAGGGGAAGGAGTCCCCAGGATTAGCCCTTGCTGGACGTGAGACCAGCACGTGGAGCTGCATCAGCAAAATGATGGAGACCCAAGTGGGAGAAGGATGAGTGCTGCACGTGCTCTGCTCTTGTGCCAGGCACGGATGTCACTGGAAGGGTCCCTTCTCCTACATCTCATCTCCACCTGGAAAAGGTGGAAAGCTGAAGCTTTCTGGGGCTGCATGGTCAGGGACCAAAACTGGCAGCAGATGGGGTGTCCCTAGGAACATAGTGCACAAAGACACTATGAAATGGAGAAGGGATGGGTGATCTGTGCCCACCCCTAGGGTGCAATAGGATTTTTGGCTGGTGTGCCTGGTGCAAGAGGGGGATGAAGAGGGGACTAGCCACAAAAGAAGGAGGGATGATCAGGCTGGATGCAGGAGGGACAAGGAAGGATAAGGAGGTGTCCTCCATGTCCCTGCCTCTGGATGCGAGCGGCACCAAACACTTCAGAGGATGCACAGGAGAACCGAAACACACCCAAAGGAGCCGGAGTGGCCACGTCCCGGGGCAACATCACCCACGCAAGCAGGAGGCGAGGGGAGCGAGGACAGACACGTACGTGATGCTTGAACGTGGCACATCCCAGCCCTGGGTGCTCTGCCCAGGACAGCACCACTGCTGCTGGGCTGGGCTCTTCCTGTCTACCTCACACCGCCCGAGGTGTTTTGAGGAAAAAAAAGGCATGTTTTGGAAACTGGGATTATTGGTTCTGTTTTGGGTCGTTGCGTGGGACTTCTTTTGGAAGGTCTCCTGAGACTAATCCGTCCTGCTAAAGAGGTGTGGAGACATCGCCCGCACGCGGACCTTCTCTCTGCTCTTAGCCCGGGTGTGGTGACACTCTGCAAAACCACAGGGAGCCAGAGAGGGTGAGCGGAAACCCAAAGTCTGCGCTGCCTCCTGTTGCTCTAACCCTGCCCCGGGCTCGGATGGGAGGACAGGTGCCCGGGGGAGCCAGCAGGACCACGAGCTGCAGGACCCTCCGCCTCCAAGCTCTGCACGGTCTGCCTTGGTGGAAAGGATCGTGGCGGAGATGCTATTTGTGCACAGGAGCCTGTGGGCACGTCCCGAGCTCACCAGGCTTCCCACTTCACCCAGGAGGCTCCAGGAGGGTCCAAGCCAGGGCAGATGGGCCATTCTCACAGTCCTGACCAGCATCTCTGCCTTTTCGGCACTGCTTTCCAGAGCCAGTTTGTTGCAGGAAGCTCAGCCCAAACCCATGACCTGTCCTATGCACTGAGGTTGGTCCTTACCTCTGAATCCCCGCAGTCCTGCTGGACCTGGAGGGCCAAGGTCTCCTCTGTCCCCTTTCAAGCCACGTGGTCCTGGTGGTCCTCTCTCCCCGGGGAGCCCTGGAGCAGGGACAAAGAGACAAAATGATCCTATTGCAATGGGATCAACCTACATCAACCAGCTTTGCACAGAGACACACTTGCATTGCTTGCCACCAGAAATGCTAGTTGGTCTGAGGTTCTTTGCCAACAGTTGAGGATATTCAGAATGACACACCTGAGAGTTTAGCCCATCATTTCTTTGTATAGCTGCCCCTAAATACAGGGTGGGTTAAGATGGAGGTAGGGTGGTGCTGTCAAGGTACTTTAGAGCTCAGAGCAATGTAAGAGCCAGATCCTGAGATTGGAGAGTGAGGAATAGAGGGGTCAGGGAGGGATGGAGACCACAAGGAGCCGTGAGGTGCTACAGGAAGAGCTGAGTGTTGTGCACCTCTCACATCCATGCGTCTCAATTGAGCGGGATGCCCTGCTGCATGGATCCAAGTTCCCCTTGCACAGAGTGTTGTGTCCCTCCTGGACTTGCCTTTTCCAGCCTTAATCCATATTTTTCCTATGGTTTGAACCACAGCCATCTGCTATCCACAATGCAAGTGCTGCTCAGCCACACTGGCCAGGTCTTCTCCATCCCGTCTCACCAAATTTGGGTGAGACCCATGGGGTGAAAGGAAGCCCAGAGGGGCCTAGCTATTATGTGAAGGGCAGTGCAGCTTCATGAGATGTGCTTGAAAATGTTGCTCATGTCTGAACCTGAGCTCCCCAAACCCAAAGAGCTGGGACACGATCTGGGAAAGCACCAGGGAAAGGAAGAAGGACCAAAATGCTAGAAATCACAGTTATTCTGGCAACAATTCCCAAAGGTGAACCCTCCAGGAATCGTTTTGTTTTGCTTTGTTTCGTTCAAGCGAAAAAGGAAAGAAGCCAGACGATGCATTTCTGATGCTTGTTACACCCAAGAAAAACAGCCATGAATCTGTCAGCACAAATAAAACAGCTGTCGATGGAACGAGCAGGGGCAGCCAGTGCTGAAAAGGGCTTGCGGAGAGTGATCAGGTTTCCCATGTGGCTTTGCCAAGCCTGGACGGTCCCACCATCCTCCTGGGAATATGGGAAAAGGGGTACCAGAAATGTGCGGATTTCACACGAGAACCAGCAGCTCAGATCTGGGCTCCAAACCCTACCTGCTCCCTACACAGGTCACATCTGCACCATCACGTTCATCAGTGCCAGGGTGGGACGTTGTCCCATGGATCCCTGCCTGCAGGGACCACCATGGTTTAATTCCCTGGCACAACAGGAGGTTGATGGTCAGATCTGGATTTCTTCTCCGTATATAAGAGGATGGAGAAGGGGGACTACAGCACGACATCCCAGAAAGCATGCCGTCATCTCGACAGGGAAGAGCCTGAAGCCACCAGCCCGGAGGTCTTTACCGGGAGGGATTCTCCAGCAAGCTCTGCATCACATCCAAGGCTTGGGTGTAAACACAGTAATTCCAGGTTTGACTTAAAATTAGAAGCAGGCTCAAGCTGAACACTTGTCCAGAGGGCCGGGCATTCCCAGAATATCTGTGGTCAAGGCTCACTTGGCCAGAGCCTTTGTCTGCACCATTGCAGCCACTGGGATAACCCAGCTTCTTCCCCATGGCTCTTTCTGATGTGACAGAGCGGGGTTCTTATTATCCAGAAAAAAAGCATGTTTTCCTCGAGGTGGGTGATTGGTGCTTCTTAAATTCAATTTCTCTTAAAGACAATGGTTTGAATTAAGAGGAAAAAGGAAGAATGCAGTCGTGAAATTGAAGATGTGTCCGAGCAAACACTCAACTTTCCCAGCCTTGCCAATGACTGGGGTCTCCTCCCACAGGCTGGATGGGTCCTGAGCTGGGTCTATCCTCCCCACCTTTGGTTGCAGGCTGGCTGCCAACCCCTCTGGTGTGTCTCCAGCTTGGAGAAACATCACCCTTTGCTTTATGAGTGGCTGTTTCAAAGGAACATGCAGGCACTAAAGGACTCGTGTAGCTCTCGCTGTCTTTCGAGTTATGGAAGGAAGGAGACCAGGGGATAAGCTGGAAGAGGAGAAAGACTTTTGCCTCTAAAGACTGGCATTTCTGTAACCAAGTAAGAGACAGTGTATCCAAGCGGGAGCTTCTCTAGGGTTGGTGTCTCACTGCACTGCAGTCCTGAGTCCTGCAGATTTGCCCTGCTAATGGTGGGAGCTCGATGTGCACATTGGCATAAAACCCATGTGATCTGGGATAGCTCCAACCTGCCAAATATCGGACTTCGAGAAGGGACAGCTGCTAAGGAGCTAAAGGAAGAGAGGAACTGTCACGCGGTCTTGGAAACAAGGTCAGCACGGATGGGGAAGAGATCCTGGATACATCCAATCTAGGATGTAAAAAAGGAATGAAACGGTGCTGTGAGGAGATGCAACAGGGACCAGAAGACCTAGGAGCTTTCAGAGATCATCTGGATCCCATATTGGAGAGGATTGGTGCTAATACCCCCAAGCTTACAAACATGGAGTAGTTTCCAAGGTCTCATAACTAACCCATGTCAGAGCTGGGACTAGGCACTGCAAGATGTGTCTTATCCAGCGCACATCCTCAGATCAAGGAGAAAGGAGGACAGCAGGCTCTGGAAAACCTCCTTGAGTCTCATGCAAGCCTGATGCAGGCACTAATCCGGTGGAATTATAGCTAACAAAAGATAAGATGGACTTAGGGTAGGTGTGGTGACCTCAGATGACAGACTGGTCTGTAAGATGTGGGGGACACATCATGATTTGAGTCTTCAATGAGTGAAAGGCTGCCAAGAAATAGGGGGATCTATTGCAAAGAACAGCCCCAGCAGGCTGGCTGCTGCATCCTAATGTTACTTCATCTTTTTGCAACACCAGCAAGGTCCCAATGGTCACACTGGAACCCTGGAGAAGTCGCTGGGAACGGTCCCATTGATTCTGTGCACTTTGGGTCAAGTCAGGCTGGGTTATCATAGAGTCATTACAGTTGGAAGAGACCTTCGAGATCATCAAGTCCAGCTGTAAACCCATCATATGCATAAGCAGGACATGTTGTTCCTTACCTCGCAGCCCCGGGAGGCCAGGAAGGCCAGGCTCGCCTTCCATTCCTTCATTGCCTTGGTCTCCTTTGGGTCCCGGAGGCCCTGGAAAATAACGGGTATGGAGATCAGCGATCCTCCCACCGCCCTTGGGCTGATGGACAACGCACACGTGCACAGGCGCCTCCTGCGCCGGCCGTTATTGTTTACCAGGTATCCAGGGGCTTCCAATAAACACAAATCTCCGCCACGGAGGAGCTAAGTGACAGCGGGGCAGTTTGCCAGGAGCCTCGCTCCGTGATCTGCGGATTTTAAAGGCCAAGAGCGACTCTCCAGGTTTTGCCTTATGTGCCAGAAAGCTTCACCCTACAGTTCCTGTGATTCCACCTGAATGAGGCTCCAAAGGAAATTCCAGTTTCCTGGAATTTCCTCTAAACCCCAAATCGTGGCTTTCTGAATGACATTACTTAAAGAAAAAGGAAATGCATTTTGGAAATATATAGGTGAACCTTTAGAAGGGGATTTGCATCACAGAACTCATCACTGCTGGCGAATACCCCAGTCCAGAGCTAACCATCAGCGGTGGCCTCAGTGTAACTGCTGCAGCATCACTGTATATGCAAGCAGAAAGTCCAGACTATGATAGAGTTACATTTATCAGCTTGAAAAGGGCCAATTCCACAAAGCTGAAAACAATTAGGAACTAAATCGATTGGAAGACAGAGTAAGAATAGAAAAAAATGACTCATGGGATTGTAGAAGATTGGGCAAAGAGAGGCTTTAAGGGGTCATTTGGTGTTTGTCCTACCAAGGCACGAGGATAATTGGAAACTTTTAAACACTGTTTTTCCTAGAAATCCAAAAAGCCATAAACTCACAGTTGTGCAGAGTGAGTAGTTGGCCGGGGTTAGGGACAAAGTGGTAATAAAGAACAGAGGGAGGGAGAGGAGGGAGGCTTAGGATCCTAATAGAGGAGCTATTTGGAGCTGCAGATGCCATGCAGGGGTGAAGGGCCCCATGGCTCCGAAGGAGATGAACCCAAACAGGCTCAGAAACGTCCCCAGCTGAAGGTGGCCAGAGGCTGGGAGAGGGCTTCACCCTTGGGTAAACAGACTAGGCTGGATGGATGGATGGATGGACTAGGTGTCCACCTCGCTTAAACCAACCTCTCGGTGCTACCCATCCCTTGGAGTCTGGAGAATCAAACAGACAGTATCAATATTAGGCAAATAAATAGCAGGAAGATTGGGATTACATAACTACACGGTGCTAAGCACCACCATTGGTTGTCAGCTTGTCCCAAGTGGCCAAGAGGGACTTTGGACCATATCAGTTTGTCAAAGTTGGATAACATGGGGATGCGTTTATTCTGCCCCACTTAGCTCAATCCCACCTGAAACAAGGAGCTAATGCAGAATCTCACAGAGATTTCAAGCGGGATGCCACTAATTGCAGCATTTCGGGGAGCAGAGCGACATCCTGGTACTGGTGACGGGGCTGCGAGCTGAGTGTCAGCATCTCCGTGACTTTAGTGCTTCCTATCCGGCTTCCTCCAGCCTCTGGACCCAGGTCTGCCCAGGGAAGATCTGCAGGACCCAAACGCGCTCCCCAGCAGAGCAGGGCTCTGAAAAGCCACTTGCTTAAACATGACATTTTCTCAGCATCAGCAGAACTAAGAGCAGTGCTGGAAACATCTCCGGGAAAAAAAACTCCCCGGAAAAAAAATGCCTCCTTTGTCCTGCACATCCTCCCTGGTTAAACACCCTTCGCTTTGGTGAGCCCTCACTGGTGGGACAGGATTGAAGCTCTTGCAGGCATCAAGCGCTGGCCCCAAAGACTTCATCTGCTCCGTTTTTTACAGATGCACTAGGAAATAACCCACACAAGGGCACCACTCATTTCCACAAAGACATGGGAGCTGCCTGCCCTGGACACATCTCAGAGGCCTTTGGCCTTAAAACCAGCCCCTGGTCACCTTGGGTGGCTCGTTTGATGGAAATAGCCCAAGGTCTAGGTGGGCTCATGCATCAAGTGGAACTTCTCCAGCCCCAGGAAGGGTGGGAAAACCATCCTGCACGGATCCAGGGAGGCCACAGGCTAAGGCAGAGGAGTGAGGGCAGGGCTACGATAAGTGTCAACCTTCTCTGATCCCGGGGCGCTGCAGAATGGGAGAGTAGACCTGGGAAGAGCCATGCTGGACGTGTCTTATCCCGGCGTATCCGCAGCCGAACAGCAGAGATCTGGCAGCTGGCCCTGCTTTGCGGCCTCTGGGTCATCCAGCTTGGAAGCACTTGAGCCAAAAAGCTCCTCTGTGGCCCCTAAGCCAACAGAGCATCCTTTGGCCACAGCAGCGTGTCCGGAGAGCTGGGATGCTCCTTGCTATAACCCATGGCGGGACAGGGGAGCGGGGAGAAGCTGGGATGAGGATGGAGGCGCCGGGACGAGGCCGGAGGAGCCCTGGGAGGGGTGGCTGGGAGAGGCCACGGTCCGGAGATGAGGAATCATGAGCAGCGCTGCAGACCCTTGGCCAAGGCGGTCCCCACCCTGCCTGGGCCTGGAAAACAGCAGCCCAGCTGCACTTGTGCCTGTGTCCCCAGGACCTCGTCCCAGAAAAACAGCCTGGAGAAGGAGCGGGAGCCCCAGGCAGCCTCTGGCTCCCTGCTCCCTGCAGTCCCCCCCGGGCTCGCCGGGAGCGCGCAGAGCTGGGGATAAAGCTCTTTCCTGGAAGGCAGCTTGACCAGGCGGGCACCGCACTCGTAAATCATGCGGCCGCCCACACAGCGAGCGGGAAGGGGGACGGATAGGGAGAGGGAAAAGGAGGAAAACGTGGAGCCGGGACGTGGCGGTGATGGGAAGGCAACAGAGGATGCAACTGGGCTGGGACCTGTCACATGGGTCTCTCCAGTGCAGATACCTCCATCCGAGCTGGCCACTTCTGAGCTCCTTATGCCCAAGGAGATGTAGGCTGTGCAGTCACTTGCTGCATGGACCACACTGGGGAGTGCAGACAAACCACCCATCCCAGCTGCATGGGAATACCAGGAAAGCAATGGGAGAAATGGGCAGGAACTCCTGCTATTGAAGGGAGGGAATGCCCAAGCAGACGGCTCACCCTAACTGTATAGGTGAACTAAGAAGATAATGACGTGAGGAACAGCTGGACCTTATAAATAATAAAAAAGGGGGAGAGAAGGTGCTTAGCAGGTTGGTGACTAAGGGGGGATTGCCAAGGCAACCATGTCACAAACACCCAAAAAAGATATCAGCAAAACTAGGGGCAATGGGCGAAGAGTAGATGGGGGTGGGCTGTTTACTGGGCGGGTGGTAAAGGAGAAGGATGTGGGAGTGAAAACATCTGTTTGGTCACTGCCATACACACATGTGGCTCACCTTCATGGTCAGATAGGACCTGAAATAGCTCTCTTGAGCATCTGCGAGGAAGCCCTGGGGGATTTATTCATAATATTGACCAGCCAACATTTGGACCACCTAACACAGCACCCCTTCCACCTCCTTAATGGACTAGTCCTTCACTTGCTACAAAGGAAGTCCAAGAGACAGCCAAAATTGCAGACACCAAAAGGTAGGTGCTTAATGGGTTTGATACACCCAAGAATATCCAAGACATCTCTGTAGGACATACACGCATGCCCTTCCAGGACGACTTCATGCATGAGCAAAGGGGAAGCTCACATGGAGACGCTCAGCTTACCCTGTATCACAGAGATGTTCTTCAGAGCCACTGAGTGTTCCCAGTCCTTGAGCCGCAGGTCCTCCGTCACGTTGTTGAGGATGGCCAGCTCGTGCTTGAGCTGCTCTTCCATGGCTATGTGGATAAGACGCATCTGCCGGGCGTCCTCGGTGGCATTGCTGATGAGCACTTGTAGGTCCTGGATGCGGGTGTGGTGGATGTTCACGTCGTAGGAGAAGGTCCTGTTCATGGTGTCCACAGCCCCGCTCGCTGCCGTCACCTGGTCGCTCAGGCTCTCCACCCTGCTGCTGAGGTGGGCCAGGAGATGGTCGTGGTGCTGGAGCAGCAGCCGGCTGCTGTTGCCTTCCACGGAGAGCTTGTACATCTCCTGCTGAGCCGTGTCGCCCTGGTGAGCCAAGCTGTCCCACAGGCTGGACACGGCCTTGTCCGTTTGGCTGGCCTGAGTCTGCAGGCTCCAGAGAAGCCCTTCCAGCTTCTGCAGTGACCCCGTCATGAGGAACAAGGAGTCCGAGTGGTTCTGCAGGAGGTCCTGGAGCCTCCAGATGTGATCCAGCACGTCCCCTTTCAGAGGTAGGTGCAGCAGCTTCAGCTGCATGTCCCGGAAACTCTCGTTCAGGCGGTTCACGTTGCCCATCAGCGCCTTCAGGTCCTCGGGGGACGTCTGCGGCCTTGAGACTGCGAGGGGGAGAGCAAAGGGGCATCAGCAAGAAGCCCATGAAGATGGGACATGCCACCCTCTGTCCACTGAGGAGCGCTTGGATGACCTCACTGTTCCTCAGCGCTCGGAGGTGACAGCCGAGGCTCCTTGCACATCCCCACAGAGCCATCTCCTCTTTGGCCCTATGGCTTTGGTCCCTGAGAACAGGATGGCTGCAGGGAGGCTGGAGAAGGAGATGGCTCCCATGGACCTTGCTCAGGATGGACCAGAAAGGCCCGTGGTGGCTTCGGGTTTTGGGACGGTTCTGGGCACAGGAAGGGCCTTGCTGGGGCAGCTGGGCATGATGCTCAGCACCGTGGCTTCGCCTGGACCGCCCTTGCCTAAAAATTGCTCAAACTCCTCCTTTCTGGTCCTTTTTTAACCCAATTTAATTGCTTAACAACCAGGTTCCCCTTCTGGCCACTAAGCTGCATGTGGTTTTCAACCTCCCAAATGCCAAGGAATGGGAAGCAAGGATCCCCCCCCAGCTCAATGCTCCAGCTGCATCTCCTTGCTCCCCATCCTGGCTCCCATTGGAGACGCACGGGGGAGGCTGGAGATACACGGAGGGTCCCAGCACGACACCATCCTGCAAAGGCTGCTCTTCTCCCTTCGTGTTGCATCGCCCACAAGTCACCAGTGCAGCCCTGGGCTGGGGGGACATGGAGCCAAACCCACCTAAATAATAAGAATTAAACCCCCCACTATCATTTCTGGAGCTGCCGTTGGGCTTCACCTGGCCCCCGGCCACCGGCTGGCCCGGCACCAGCCTGGCAGCTGCCCACGGCTCCTTTCCAAGGAGGAGAAACCCGGCGAGCACATTTGGTTTGCATTAAGAGCAAATATACGGTGGGAGAAGCTGTGCACACGCGAGGACCTGGCGCTCTTGGGTCCTCACACAACCACGGCTTTCATGCAACCAAACCGAGGGGAAAAGAGCCCCGTGTGCAGGGTCCCTCAGTCAGAAACACCCCAGGAGACTTCTTACAAGGAGGAAAATACCTGTTTTGTGTGTGTCCTGTGTTTGCACATGTATGCAGGGCAGCGATGCTGTTGCACGTGCATGCACATGCGTGTGCATCTGCAAGAGCGCCCGGAGCATGAGCTGAAAAGAGCCTGTGCTGGGCGCGAGGATGTTGAGACCCAAAGCGGGGACGGTGAAACCCTTTGCAATGGGACCGGTTTAAGGGTGCAGACTAAGCAAAAACAGGAGGCGGCTGCGGAAAGGGAGGAGACGCCAGCATTCCCAGCCCATACGGGCAGGGAGCTTCGTGACGGCTCCGGAACAGCCCTCACCTGCGAGGATGAAGACGCCGACGAGGATGTTGAGACCCAAAGCGGGGATGGTGAAACCCTTTGCAACGTGACCAGTTTAATTTGGGTGCAGACTAAGCAAAAGCAGGAGGCGGCTGCGGAAAGGGAGGAGGCACCGGCGTTCCCAGCCCATACGGGCAGGGAGCTTCGTGACGGCTCCGGAACAGCCCTCACCTGCGAGGATGAAGACACCGACGAGGATGAGGAAGACGAGGAGGTAGAGCCCCAGCACGGCGTACTTGAGCGCTGCCAGGGAGCCGAGCCGGCCGCAGCGCCCGGCCGCCGTCATCCTCCTGCCGGGAGCTGAGCGAGGGAGCGGGCGGTCAGCAGAGCATCCCCACCGCCTGCTCCGGGAGAGGACCCCGCTCCTCCCCGTCCACCTCCAGCTTTTATTATTTTCCCCATTTTTATTCCAAGAGCATCCCTGGGAAAGCACCTGGGTGGCCGAAGTTGGATCCTGACTGGCTGTATCCCAGGATGCTGGGCTTAATTCCCATGCCCCAGCCCCTCTCCAGCTTTTCCGTGGCATCTGGCTCCATGCCTCAGTTTCCCTGCCCATCACTGGAAAAGGATCCTCCGGTGGGAGATGAGCGGGGACTGGGGCAGCCCCTGCTCATCCGGCGCCGCTGGGATGCCGCAGTTTTCCTGCCCTCAACACTTGCATCGGCCCTGGGAGGCTCCGGGAGGAGCTGGCGCTGGGCCCTGAACCACCCACTCCTCCCGGCCGCCTCTCCGGAGAGCGGGAGGGACCGCGGCTGCGTCACCGGGGCGGGCGCCCGCCCGTAACCAAGGGGAAAAGCAAAATATTTCCCCCTCCCTCCCTGCCCCGTTCCCCGGCCCCTCGCTGGCAGATCCAGGGCTCCCGCGGGCTGCACTGGAGCACCTCAAACGGGGAGGGGGAAAAAGTGATGCCCATGAACCCCCCAGGATCCCCATCAAGAGCTGCCCAGGTGCCTCCACCTTCAAAGCTTCCCCCCCGAGCCAAGCAAGGAGGATCCAACCTCACCGTCCTCGCAGAGGTTCAGCTTGGAGAGGCTCCTGCCCTCGAAGGGCTCCTCGAAGACGGAGCCGCTCTCCCTCTCGCCGAAGGTGTGGAGATACATGGCCTTGTTGTCCATCCTCCCGCTGCCGGAGGGGCACAACGCACACGTGAGAAGGTGCTGGGTGGTGAGGGCGCGTGGTGATGGGGCAGGACCCCAACCCTGTCTGCTCCTCAGCTGTGCACAGCTTGGGCACCCCGCTCTGGTGCTGAGGACACAGACCTGCCACCAAGGGTGCCCCTGGCTCTCCCTTGTTAATGCTGGCTGCTACATCTCAGCGTGTGCTGGCCCCGTGTCAGGGCCACCGTCCCCTTCCCACCAACACAGACCTCTTGCTCTGAGGCCAGGGAAGGGCTCCCACCACTCGGGTCCACGTGCAACCTGTTGTCCCTCTGCTCCGAGCCAGGCTGTCCCACCGCAGGGCTGGACAAGGAGCGTGTGGATCTGATCCCTTCCTAGCACTTGGGGTCCTCCTGCGGCCACCCCAGGTCTGGGAGTGCTCAGGATGCAGCACAAGGGGTGGAAGAGCCTTTGGAGAACAAGGGCTCCAACCTGCTGCTACAGCCTCTCCCAGCCAAACCCAGCTGGTCCCAGGGCTCTCCTCATCCTTAGGGATCAGCCAGCCCTGGCAAGGTGACACCTTGGCCACCACGGAGGTTGCACAAGGTCCAGAGGCTCCTGCAGGGAATGGGCCCCCCTTGTCCCAGCAGAGCTCCAGCCCAGAAGGAGTTAAAATCCTCCCCGCTGGCCTTGCCGGGCAGGATCCGCTGAGGACTCCCCAGCTCGTGTCATGCACGGCCCTTGCCAGCTGGCTGCAGCTCCTGCTGCCCCGAGCGCCCCTCGCTGCCAGCGCATCTGGGTCCGGACACACTCTGCAGGGATCCCGGATCCAGCCTTGGGGGTGGTAGAGGGGAGATCCCTGCACTTCCCAGCCCAAACTGACCCCTTGGAGGAGCAGGGGGAGCAGGGATGGGGGTTGTCCCAGTGCAGGGGCTCCCGGGGTTATCCTGGCTGCGGAGGAGGGGAGGGATCCAGGACTGTTCAGGGATCTCACAGCACTTTATGCAAACTTTGGGGAGTCCAACCTCCTGCTCCCCCCAACACAGCCAGCTCCCGGGATACTCCCAGGATAGAGATGCTCCCCGGGGAGGGGATGCTCCCAGGAAGGAGATGCTCCCCAGTAGAAGGGTTAGGAGGCTCCCAGGACAGGGATGCTCCAGGGACCGGGATGCTCCGGCCGGCGGCTGCCCCCGTCCCATGGAGGGGCCGCTGCGGCCGCGGGGCGAGGGGCTGCGCGGAGCCGCCGGCGCTGCGAGCGCCGCTGCGCCCCGGACGCGCCGCGACGTTTTGTAGGGAGCTGCAGGAGGAGGGGGGGACGGGCTCCGCGCCGCCCACCGGCCCCGCCGCCGCTTCCAGGCGTGCAGCTGAACCCAGGGAAGAAAACAGAAAACTCCCGGACGCTTCCTCCTTTTGCAGCACGAAAAGGAGTCGCTGCGGAGCTGAGCGCTGAGATCTGCCGGGAAAAACGGTGTTTTCCTTCACAAAAGTGACACGCAAGCTGCTCCCGACACTTAATACAAGAGTGATGGAACTGGGAGGCAGGGTAAATATCACCCCGGTTCCTGGAAGCCCTTCAGTGAGGTGTTAGGGTTGGAGCTCCAGGTTGTTACATTCCTTGCATGCAAGGTGGTCAATGCAGTTGATCAGTCGAGTGCGAGTAAAGGCAAGAGCCAAAAATAGCTTTATTATTATTATTTTCTAAGTAATGAAGCAGAAGGGAAGGTCTCCAGCAGGCCTTTAGGGGCAGTGCGGCTCTGAGAGACTTCTGAACAAACTCTCAATTTCTTGGTGCTCTTGGGCGAACACTGCAAGGACAAGAGCAAAATGAAAGTGGTTTGGTAGCCTCGTTGGTTCTCGGAGAGGGAAGGACCCGGTACAAGCATCGGTCCGGATGGATGGACCTGCCTGCTGTCACGGAGCCGGGATGCTCACGAAGGAATAAGCGGTGGGGAAAGACCCTACCTGGCACCATCTCGCACATTCTGTTCCACGGGCAAAAGGCAAGGCTGAACATGTCGGAAAAGTCCTTCTCCAGCTTACTGGTCATCTCCTCCTGCACCCATCATAAATGAGGAACTTATCATTTTGATTTTTTAATTGTTTGGGGCTTTTTGTATTTTTTTTAAGAGTGAATCTGTCTTTAAGACCGTCAAGCCCAGTGCTGACCTGGCACAGAACTGCATGGACTTTATGAGGGGGCAAGCCGTGTTCATGAGGGCAGCTCTGGTGTTTGCCCACTCATGCAAGCTGCTGGGCAGTGCCCACACTAATGATGGGCAATACCCAAAGCAGGTGAGACTTTTTTTTCAGGTGAGCCCACCCATTCTGTCAGTCTTCCTTGGTCAAGGAAGGTTTGCACAGTCTTTGGGTGTCCTAAAGAAATGTTGTGCAAATAACCATGATGGACCTGGTGTGTGTGATCACCTCCACCTGTCTGGTGGGCACACATGTGAATGACTGCAAATATGCAGAGATGAGGTAGAAGAGATCATATGAGGTCAGAAAGCAGGAAATAAAGGGACCCAACTAGGACATTTGAAATCTAAAGTTTTGCTTACTAAGGCAACACAAGGGTTGATTGGGGAAATAAGCCGGGGAACTCACCTTCAGTTCCTGGAACTGGCTCTTCATCTTATTCTTTGCCCTTTCAAACATGTTGTTGGCCACCTGCTCGTCAACAGCCTCATAAAGTTTCTTTATTATCCTCTGGCTTGACTGCTCCCCGCGTATCCTAGATGCCTCTATTGCAATGGTGGGAAACATCACAACACTGTTGCCAGCCCCAAACAGATGTGCAAATAGGGACTGGGAATGGTAGGTGCAGAACACATGCCCCCTCTTCCCAAGCACCTTCCATCCCCCTAAAAATTTCCTTTGCTCGTCTCAACACCTTTGAGCCAAGCCCTTCCACAGATACTCAAGCTAAGCTGTAGGTTTCCTGAAGCTCTGGAACTCAAGCAAGGTCTCAGCTCTCCAACCCCTCCTGCTACTCTCTCCTTCCTTTAATTGTTTCACAAGAGACATATGATGTGTTTATGTGGTTTAATGATTAATGGTGGGGCAACAATAAAGCGGATCCATGCAGAGCAGGTTTTGGAAGTATAGCATTTCTTTCCCTGGTGATGCCATAGTGGCCGAGTGAATACATCACCCAAAGGCATTGGGTGACATATTCACTTACTTCTCCTCCCAGTTCTTCAGTTAGCACAACTGTGATGGGACTCTGCAAAACCCAGGAAAACCTCTCCCAAGGCGAGGCCAGGCTAGAGGCCCGGTCTTACCTTCATAATGCGGCGAAAGGCGGCTTTTGATCTCCAGCACATAGGACTCGTAGATAGACTTCTTTTTCAGAAGAATTTTTCCTTCGAGGCCTTTCATGATGTTGTCCGTCTGCAGAAATTGGTGGAAGAACGTTAACCCATTTCACTTCAAACCCTCGGTTGCAAACAGGAGCTGAACAAATGGGGTAAAGCACCAGGGCAGGTTGAAGACGCAGATCCATCCAGCCATTCTATGTGGGATGGGGATGGCATGTGAGGGCAGTTCTAAGACCAGAGTTTCGGTAAAAATGAGAGGTGCGAGGAAGCACTTATACAACTCAAGCCGTGGCCATGAGCCATGCAAGTGATCCTGGCCACTCATCTTGGGGTTCTCCTACCCACTTGCAACCTCACCTCTTGCAGGAGAAAATTGAGTCTTAAGTTCTTCAGAGCGGTATTATTCTCAAAGCTCTTGAATTTATCTTTTATCTCAGTGCTGAAATCATCCATGACCAACTGCAGGCTCTCATTCATGGGCTGCTGTTTTCTATTTGAAAAATATCGGAATGACTGGTAAGTGCAAGGCCTTTTGCATGCTCACCTTCTCTTTGGCACGTGTTTCTCTCCCACTTGTGGAAGACTGGTCACATAGGCAACAGAAGGGGGTCCGGGGTAAGATAGCTGGGGTACTGCTGCTAAAGGGTGCTTTAGGGCAACTCTAGGACCCCATCCTCAGGATAGTCCAGGCTGAGAACTTAATTGATGCCTTTATTATTATTATCATTATTATTATCTGTGCCAATCAAGATAATTTTCTTTTATAGGAAGACATGAGATGAATTCATTAAGCCTTTCCAGCTGCACAGCAGCAATCTCTTCAGGAACCTGGGCTCACTGACATCCCTCTTCTTCTGGAAACTGGAGATAAGGAGATACTAGTTTTCTTCCTTATTTCTGTCTAAACCCATGCAAATCAGAGAACAGAAGGGGCAGAGAGATTGAGGGGCAATATACACATGTTGCCCAGTTAATGCAACATAGCGGTCCCGATCCTGGGGACTATTGACCATGGGAATGTCTGTAGCAACTATGTGAAAGATGAGTGAGTTGCTGAGATGCTCCAGTCCATCAGGAGTGTTCCCAAAGTAAGAGGCTGACGGGAGAGATGCTTTTAGCTTTGCCTGGGCAATGCCTCATCCTCCTGCAGGCTCCCTCCTGTGCTGGAGCAAGATGCAGGCTGGGGCTCTACCCTCCAAGCAGGGCCCTGTCCTTCTCACCTGAATATGGTCTCAAAAGGTGCGTCAATGTGTTCGTAGACGGCTTGCGCCAGTACGTCGTTGATGTCCAGGCGGCCGAAGACCCGGGATACGAGCTCCCCTTTCCTCCTGCACAAGGCTTTCAGGGTCCTGTGGAATCCGCGGGATTTCTGACCTTTCTGCACAAAGAGGGAAAATAAAAATAGAAATGTTATGAGTGGAGCATGAGAGCAGTGCCATGGCCTAGGCTGCAGAATACCTACTCTCCTCCCAGTGTTACAGGATGTTGAACTTCAAATTAGAGCTAAGCTAAAGTAACACAAAATGCACAGCAAAAATATCCCTGATTGCCTTTCTCTTACCCAAAGATCTCAACGCCTTTGTGGGTGATGGTGGAGACAGTTGCAGATCAGAAAATTAAATAAATTTACCCTGTCTCAGTAACAGTATCAGACTTTTGCTACTCACGTTGAAGAGTTTCTCCATATTCTTCTTGTACAGTTTTCTGGCAGACCCAACTCCCTTGTCAAGGTGCAAGTCTATCTTATCAAAGATGTACCCAGCCTGTGTCCCCAGCTGCTGGATCTTTAGCTTCACATATTCACCCAGTGAGAAGGACTGATCCCGCTGCAACAGCAGAATGACACAGACATTACCCTTGGACTGCCCAGTGTAATGGAAACAGGAAATTTATGGACTGCTCGGAGTTCAATCATGGCTGAGAAGGGGGAAAGCAGAGGAATGGCACCAAGGAGAGAAGGAGCCTGTCCTGAACCAGCACATGAGTGGCTTGTGCAGATGAGGGAGAAGAGAGACGGTGACAAGACCAAGCGATGGGGCTTCAGGGATGGAGTAACTCGCTGCATTTCTGCATCTCCTTGCCTACTCTGCTTTGCACCCTCTGAAGAGACCAACTTGCTAACTAGACTTCAGTCCTGGTGCATCCTCTCAGCTGTACAAAATAGGCAAAAGGATTTCCATTGCCCTAACTGCTCTAGGGGTACCTCCCAACCCCAAAATAATTAGGGGTTTTATGCAATAATCCCCTAATTAGCTTACTCCAGTGTATGGGGAGTAGGCTTGCATTCGGACCGGGTGCTGGTTCCATAGCTCAGATGCCAGGAGGAGGAAGGAGAAGAAGGCAGCTCGCACATCAGCAGCTGCAGAGGCAATATTGGTTGCTGACATCACGCTGGCAGTGGTAGCACGGATACACGTACCTCTTCAACAGACTCGTTCCTGTAAATATCAAGGAGGCAGAAAATGGTATAGATTTCACGCACGTAATTCTGTAACTGGTTCTTCATCATATTCAGGCGGAGCTTCCTGACGTGGTCTCGGAGCATGTTGATTTCTGCAATGGAAGGAGAGGGGATGCTTTAAACCCTGGGTAGCAGGGATTGCCCTGCAGGACTCGATATAGGCACTTGCTATAACCCCAAACTTCCATTTTTTTTTGACCAAATCAGAATTCTAGACTTCTTTAGAGAAATAAAAAAGGCTGTACCCTTAATAAAGTCTATCATGAAAACCCAACCAAAGGACAATCAGGTTGGAGCGTTTCCTAGCAATGACTGGCCTCGCTATCTGCAGGGAGGGAGGGACTGAGTCATTATGAACAAGTGGGACCAGGTCTTCCAGGGATTAGACTTGACCTTGGTGATGGTTGAGGGGATGGAGAACCCTTTCACGCCTGGTCATATGCAGGATCCAGAGAAAATCCTGTCAGAAGGGAATGGGGATGCCAGAAGAATGACCTGGAGCAATTCTAGGAAAGCCAGGAAAGATCAAGAAGCCAGGCCATGTACACAGCAAATATTTTCCTTATCTGAGGGAGGGATGAATAATGCATTTATAGGATGATAACCTATTGCTGATAGAAGGATGCAAACCATTCTTTCCTGCTGTTTGCCCACAGGAAGGCCACAAATGAGTGCCTTAAACTCAGCTGCCAGCTGATGCCATGAGTCCATCAGGGCGAGACTCAAGCAGCTCATGAGAGAGCACCCTGAATTCAGCTCATGCCACCAGATCTGACAGCGATGGCCATAAATGTTCTCCCGTATGCAGAACTGTGGCTTGAAGGCAGCCTGCATGTTACCTGTTTCTTCTTTGTTGAGTGTTTTAGTCATTTCACTCCTCCAGTACTCTCTGGCACTCACTGTGTAAACCAGGTTGGGCTTCTGCAGCACCTCTACGCTGCTGGGAAGACTTTTCTAAAACACATGCACATGTATCACCGTTCATGCATGGGCATCTCTGCAAAGACCCTAATACAACATTGCAACCCTGCAAACCTTCCTTGAGCACCGCAGAGAGCAGGTGTTCACAGTGCTGCCTGCTCAATCAACCCTCCTCCCTCCTGGACTTGCTCCGCTGTGGACCTCCCGATTCACACCCCATGGATGCCATTGCTGTTTATGTTTTCATAACAGAAATGGGAAGGAAAAGATGGTATTTCATGAGAAAAGAAGCAAGCTTAAAGATGATTACGTAGCCAACACATTGGTTACCGAAACAGAAAAAGTAGATGCTCATTTGTAACGAGTAAACTCTGCATCTTGACCCTACCTGTATCCTTGATCTTATTGATTTGTCCTTGCTGTTCTTCAGATATTTGTTATGCTCCAAAATGGCATCATGCTTGCTCATCGAATTCTAGATTTCAAAAGATAATGAATGTTAACAGGAGGCATTTCCCAAAACCAGAAAATTGCCCCTAGACCAACACAAAATTGGAAACAAGGCTCTGTCCTGGACCCTCAGATCTTCCACACAAACTACAGTGCTGTACCCAGACCTTCATCGTCTCTCCAAGGAAAACACGGAATATCACAATTTCAGTCAATGGTCAAACCTCTGCCATTGTCAGGTAAGTTATTGGAGCAGCTGTCTAGAAACCTGCCCCTGAAACAATGACCTGGATTTAATTCACATTTCTGCCTGTGAAGGATGAATCTGGCAGCTTTCAATATAGCAAATAGGAGGCCACAGCTGGCTTTGCCCATGAACTGACTTTCTTCCCCACCACGACTTTGCTGCACACTAGTTTCTTGCCGTATCATCCCATTTCTTGTCGTATCTTCCCATTTCCAGCTAATCAATCTGCCAGGGTGCTTGGAATCCAGACTGCCTCCTTTTACCCCACCAAAATGCAGGACCAAGGCAGAGCTCAAGGTCTTCTGCTCCCAGTGACATGCGTGGAGAAATGCCTAATCTGCCTTCGTGAAATGCTCAGCATCCCTGCACTTCTGCTCCTGATGAGCAGAGGCCCCTTGTCCCTACCATCACTCCCTGCTCTGTCTGGAAGCTATTGGAGACCGTGGTCATCTTCAAAGCCTTAATCTGGTGCTTCTCATTTCTGTTCCTTTGGAAACACTGGCTTATAAAAGGAATGAGGGTTTTGATCACAAAAAGAGCAAATACTCACTTCTGGCCTTCTTTTTTCCCTAGGGGAATAAATAAAAAAAAAAAAGTCATTTGAGCAAACATGGTAAACATATCATGCTCTTTAGCAAGAATAGACAGCAAAGTGCATGGAAAGCAGACAGGAGAGCCACTCCACTCACATCATAGTCACAGGGTCTGCTAGCTCCCATCAGACCCAGAATCGGCTTCAGTATTTTAAAGCTTAAATGCTTTAGTTTGGGCTGCTAATGCAATATCTCATTCCTTTCAAGCTGCCTTGAAGTAAGGGCAGCTCATGCGAGGGGCTCCACAAGAGGCCATGCTCTTGTTCACAGACAGCAGAAGAAAAGGACAATTTCTTTGAGTATCCTGGGCACAGAAATACTATTGGTATGAATGGCAAAAGGAGATGGTCAACTTGTGTTGGTCAGAAAGACAGAAATAAAAATAATGAAAGGGATGAGGCAGGATTGTGCCTTGACCTGAAAAGGGTTTAAGCAGAAGAGGGCAAAATCTCTCTTGAGAAAGGCAGTTAAACAGATTTTGCTGGGATAAAGATGGGGCTAGGCTGTAAATCCCAGAAATGGTCTGGGTGTCAATGGAGTTATGTTTGTAAATGCATAATGATCTTAAAATGTCACTGGGAAATAACTATTGTATGAGAATGCCATTTTCCATATGCAAAGTGGCTACCAACAAGATCTGATCCTGTCACAGGCTGATAGCATCTATTCTTTGGGACCTGGAGCATGCACGGAGGCTATTACAGCTTTAAGTAACAGAGAGGGATTGTCTACCTTCGGTGGCAGTAGCAACTCAGTTTGGACCCTAAGGTCTCAGGCTTAATGCCCCTGCTCTTGTGCTCACTGGGAGCTTCAGGGGTTAAAGCCAGCTTGGAAAACAGCCAGAGTGGTGGCATTTTGGAGGAAAAGGCAGGCCAAGGCCCTGCAAGTCCCTGCACACGATGGAGCTGCTCTTTACCTTAAGTATTCCTCAACATTCATGTTGTCCGTCTTGGTCACCACAAAGGTGATATCACAGCACTTCCCAGCCTGGAAAGCTTTAATTGCCTCTCGTAGCATAATTTCTTGGGTTTTGGCCCCAAAAACACGTTCGACATCAGCTATAATCCAGATGGATGAGCACTCCAGGATACACTTGAGTAAAAGAAGGAAAAGCAGATCGGAGCGCTGAGCGTGATGGGACCACACGTACCAGCCAAGGAAGCATCTCCCGCCCAAGAGCCTTTTCCCCGTGCAGTAATCACCTCTTTCCACATTTCGTCCCTGTCTTTGTTGGAATCTCCCATCCCTGCAATATCCACAAAGACAACGCCCTCAGGAATCAGGTCGGACATTGGGAAAATCACTTCTACATGCTTGATCAGCGGCCAGTGCTGCATCTTTTGTGTCCCTTCTCTCATGCTGCTGCTGCCACTGCCCATCTGGTCCTCCTCATCATTGTCCTGGTTCCGGATATAAGGATCCAGCTCCTTAGAGAGCTCCTCTGCCTGCGAAACAACAAACAAGTTAATCTGGGTAGAGAGAAAAACTCCAAATAGGCTAAAAAAGAACCCATTTCATTTTGTTTTCCTCTAGTGTGTCACCATGCTTCGAAAGATGAATCCAGACCCTCCAACTCTAGTGGAGAGAAGAGTCTTCAAAACAGAGTGACAAGAAGGTCAGTAAAGGAAAACGCTCAACTACACAATTTTTTCAACCTCTGACATGTTCAGATCTGGAAGTAGAACTTTTGGTCTTCCTAGCCCAAAACGGTGCACTCACACTTCTTTTCTGAAAAGCGATGAGTCCTGTGGAGGAGATGTTGACCTTGGGGGTGGCTCTCAGCAACTCTTCATAACTTCTTCTCTCGGCTCCTTCCCCATAAACAGTGCGCAGCTTGGAAATGGCAAGCTCCACATCTTTGTTGCTCTCATCCTCTTCGTCGTCCTCATGTTCTTCCAAAAATGCGAGGAGATGCTCCAGCTCGTCCTTCCATTCCTGCCAAAATGGTTATTTAATGGAATAGTTCAGGTTTTGTTATGAGGTGCATCCATCCCAAACGCTTTAGAGTTTAGCATTACCCACTCCATGTGGTGGCCAAAAGACAACTGCCAAAAAGAGCTTCCATGGAGAGGACCCTGTTAGACACCTGTGGTGGAGAAACCTGCCTCACCTGCTCTGAGAGAAGAAAAATTTTCGCTTCGTAGTCTTTGCTCCTGCACACACTGACCCGGACCTGGCAAGAGGTGCAGGTTTGTGTCCCTGAGACCGGCAGAAAGTACTCCTTGCCCAAAAGGGTGTTCAGCAGCGTGCTCTTCCCTGCGCCAGTGCTGCCGAAGAGGCCGATGCTGGTGACGCTGAAGGTAGACTTTTCCTGGAGCGTGGTCAGGCGGTCTCTGCAGAGCAGGGAAGCAAGGAGAAATGCCACCGCAGCAGACACAAACATTAGGGGAGTTTTTCCCTTTGCAAGTGCAATCACTCTGTTAAAAACAGCCTCGCAAGGGAGCTTCCTCTGCAGCACAGCCTCAGCTCTCCGCTGTCCTTAGCTTTCCCTCAGTTCCCTGCTCCAAACCCTGCTCCAGCCCTTTCCAGCGTGGGAGTAGCCCTGGTGAGCTCCACAAGGCCATGGCACCATGCTCACCATGCTGCACGCAGCTCTTGCCTCACTCAGAGCCATGGGCTCCTATTGCATTTGCACTGCTAGAAGGATGCCAAAGTTGCTGTCACCCCTCCGGATGGGTCCTCTTCTGCCCCTGGTTCTTATGTCTTCCCCGATACTCCCAAGGGGTGACAAGATGGTTGGTTAATTTTTCCTACGGAAAGAAGTTGTTCCCTGGCTGCAGTCAGAGAGTGAAATCTGCTCTACACACACTTCTGCAGAGATCCAGGTAGGTAATTCCTTGTTCCATTCTCCTCTCCAGAAACAAGCCCGCTTCAAGCCCTTCAAGCACGGCAGTATCTTGGAGCTGGACACAATGCATATTCCAAGCCCTCTATCAGGGAAGGAAGCTCTGCCTCAATCCCTTTGGCTGCAGACTCACCTGAGATATGTCAGCTGGCTGGGCGCATCACCCAGTTGATCCACAAATTTCATCCTTTCATGCACCAGGTTCAGAATTTTTCTGGCCTTGGACTCGATGTTTTCATCTAGAAGGGAGATGTGGTCTCTCCAAAGCCTGCTGTGGCTTAGGGAAGTCTCTGCCTGTCCCTGTGCCAACACATGCTCTTGGCTTCTCATACTCACAATTTTTAAGAAGCTTTTGCTCATCGTCCTGGAAAGCCTGAGGTAGTCTGGGCCGCTTCCGAGCTATTTCCTCTGCATTTCCCCTTTCTGCACCTTTTCATGTTGGAAGGACATCCACATTACCACAAGAAGCAAAGAGAGTTACAGGGTGTAATATTAAAATACCTACAACTCTCAGAAATTTGCAAGCAAGTCAAAAGTGGAATAACTTTTACTCAGCTCCTGTAAGTGAGAGGATGACTTGGGGAGCCTCCCTCTTGTATAAACATGGGATGGTTGCAAGGGAAACCTTCTCACCTTGAGCCTCTGCCATATCCCCAGAGCCTGAGGCAAGTCCGTGCAGTCCTGGGTCACCCTTGGCTTTTCACCAAGCTGTGCTCAGAGCGAGCAAGAACTCTGACAGAGACACCAGTATCCAAAAAACGCTTCAGAGAGAGAAGAAACAAATAATTATGACTTTTTTTTTGAGACAATCCCTTTTGTATTGATGCAATTTCATTTGTATCGTGGTTATGTGACATGCAATAGCCTCGTGTTCAAGGCAGCTGCTAATACAGCTCCTCAGGGGTGCTGGGTCAACAATCTTTAAACAGAAAGCACCTTATATACAGAGGGGGAGAGGAAATGATTTTATATCCTACGAATGCCTGCGGGATGGTCAGCTGATGGTCAGCGGCTTTCCTACTGAGGCTGTTGAGCACAAGCCCTGTTTTCCCCTCTTTCTTTGCACCCACTCTCTTTCCTGGTTCTTGCT